TGTACAGGTGGTTGTCTTATATGTACAGGTGGTTGTCTTGTACAGGTGGTTGTCTTACATGTACAGGTGATTGTCTTGTACAGGTGATTGTCTTGTACAGGTGGTTGTCTTATATGTACAGGTGATTGTCTTATATGTACAGGTGGTTGTCTTATACAGGTGGTTGTCTTGTACAGGTGATTGTCTTATATGTACAGGTGGTTGTCTTGTACAGGTGGTTGTCTTGTACAGGTGGTTATCTTGTACAAGGGATTGTTTGTACAGGTGGTTGTCTTATATGTACTGGTTATTGTCTTGTACAGGTGATTGTCTTATACAGGTGGTTGTCTTGTACTGGTGGCCTTGTGAGCAAGAAAGACTGTTTAAAGTTTCATTTAAATCACATACATGGCAACATTCATGCATGATTGTAGCTGAACTATACATGCATGTGGTTTAACTATGCACACCCACCTCATGTAGCGATCCAACTTGCACTGACTGGTCACAACTCTCTGCTCTGCGCCTCGACCGCTACTCACGCAGTTTTCAAAAGTCCGTGGTTCACGCCTCGGCCTGTCCTTGTTTTCTTCAATGTCAAATAGGTAGCCTACCGTACTCGACTCGACTACTTTCCCGAGAATCACACTGTTAACCACAATGATGAAAAGATTTGCGCATGCTGCCAGTTTTTCTATGTGCATGCTAGACTGCCAACATAGACAAGAGAATGGTGTATTGATCTTTCGATTTGTTTCTTCAAAGTCATTATTTTGACAAGCCCCTGTCAACTGCAAATTTACTTTTTTGGGGGGCCTTTGTGCAACGTTTTTCAGTCAAATCTACTCAGAAATGTGTTTTGAAATTGACAGAAAATGTGTTGAGCCAACAAAAACAAACAAAAAAACAAAAACAAAAAAGAAGATAAAAGTTGACCAATGAGTGGAAAAAATGCGTGTTTCTTCATTGTCCTTATTTTGACAAGCTCAGTTTTTCCTCATGACCACACACACACATCCATCACACCTCTTCCCCCCCCGGGGGCAGTGCTACTGACTGAAATGTCTTTGGGCCATTCCCAGAGGGGGGTATTAACATGTTCTTATGCAAAGTAGAATTGTAAATTGGCTGATGTACCAATGTCATGCTCATACTGTGCCGGAACAACATAGGGGGAACTGCTGCTTTTTCTTTCTTGATTTTTACTATTGTCATTTTTACCTCTACTTCTTTTGTGTGTTTGTCACTCTCTTGTGACCCACTATTTCTGGGGTGCCTTGATAGTGGAAGCAGACTTTGTGCTGTTGAAGCTAGAGAGGTGAGCAGAGTAAGCCTGATTCCCCGTTTGGACTTCTCTGTTGACACGTAAAACCTCTGCTAATACTAAATCCATGTGGTCCCCAGCTCAAGGGAAGCACTATACAGTGGCGGCAGGAACCACCTTGCCTTCCCTCGTCTCCTCGGACGTCTTGGATCACCCGATCCAGTTCCGCCTGGCGGGATTCTCCACGTCGTGGTCACATGACATCTTTGTGAGCGGCGACAGGATGAAGGAGAACCAGATGGTCAAGGTATTGGGGGAACCTCGCAAAGGGTGCTTGCTGCGGGCAGGGGCCTGCGTCTTCAATAAGTTCAAGAAACAGGTTAATGGGAAAACAGCGACAAACCAAAGGATAATACAATCCATGATGAAACTCACTACTGTATAACATGCGCATAGCAAACAGATTTTCTGGTCCCGGATTGTTCCTTGCATATTTAAATTCTTTGTATCTAAAACATGTACATAATTAAATTTGTCTATAACGAAAGATTTCTGTGTTGTGCCGGTTTCGCTGTGTGTGTGTGTGTGTGTGTGTGTGTGTGTGTGTGTGTGTGTGTGTGTGTGTGCAGGTG